TACCTCTGAAATAATACTATATGAATTCTAATGGACAACCTCTGTTTATTGCTATTCAGTTTATTAGGTATAATACCATGAAGGCTCAGTGAAGTGAGGGCTCCCTTTAGGCGCTGAATGATAGTGCTGCAACTTTCACCACCTAACAAAGACTTATGATAGTGGTAGTTAACTGTGCTAGCATACTGAACTGAATGGATAATGAAAACAGCTGCAGTCTTGTGAATCTGGACCACTTACAGACTTGTTCTGGTTCAGAGGCTGAGCAAAGACTCCAAGAAAGGGCACCATGGGAGATGGAGCTCCTGGGCTTCAGGGGCTGAAAGTACAACAGTAACAGTCAATGAAATATTGCAGAATCAGATATCTTGTAACTTCCATCGGGGTTAACAATAAGGCAACTTGTGTATCAGAATGTGATGTATCTTCAGACAACCTCTTATTGGGGAAAAGATAGGATTTGTTACAGCAGGTATGTTGTTTGCATATTCTGAAGCGTGAAAATCATGTCAGTCCCTCACTCCCTCTCAGATATCATTACATCAACACAAAAACATTTAACAGGATCTCTGGCAAATCCAATCAGTCAGACAAATATCTTGGAAACTTGTTATTGCACCTCAATAAAGACACAGACATGAGATATGAGGATACTCACAGGAGTATCATCCAAGAAGATGAGGATCAAGTTGTTTACCAAGTCCTGCAACAAGGAAGGAAGTATCTTGAACACTCAAATCTATTTAGTTGTAACTTGTATGCTCAAATGTACATTTTAGGAATACAATCAGTATCACTTATGATGTATGTACATCTGTTACAGTTATAGAACATGAATCAAGTCACAGTACAGTAGTCATACAGACCGGGTTAGCAACAGCATCTACGCAGAGGCAACAGCACCGAGCCTGCCAACATCTCTCAACAGCACAGGTGCTTCTGTAAACAAATAACACACAAATAAACACATCTGGAAACCATTAACACAGTGACTTTGAGCGTTGGGCCTTAGGTCTGTGGATGTAGGGAAGAGACAATCAGTGTTGGGTCACAGGATGTATGGAAAGAGACTCTCTATCAGTGTTACTTTGAGTGCAGGGCCTGAGGTCTGAGGACATACCGAAATTCCCATATTTAAGCCGGGGCTTAAATCACGGAAAATCACTGTTCTAGTGATGAAATATTTTAACCATATTTAAGCCCAGGGCTTAAATTCGAAAATCATAATATTTTGATAAAATGAAAAGAATGGGCTTCTTAAAACTTTTATCAGGAAACTGGTCTTTAAATTCAAAATTGAAAGTTATGAAATGTTTACTTGAGTGCGTAAATGTGAATGTGAATGATAAAGTTGACAGTCTAATTAATGCAAAACACGAACTTCAAACTATTATGAGAGGACTGACTGACATCTAAGACAATAACTCTACAGACACTATTTAGAGCCACACAGTTTTCAGAGTTCAAAGCTTAAGGAAGTGAGTTGTTCACCACTGTGCAAATGATCTTGTGTTAAAATTTTGATCACATTAGGATCCGCGATTATCTTGTTGGCCGTGGTGCATTATTTTAGCATTGAAGTGATGGAATATCGTTGACAAAATCAAAAGAACCAGTGATCACTGCATTTCAGCGCCGTCTGAAATTCTTATCTCCTGTTTAAGAGCAATATCTTTTACTTTTAAGAATTTTGTAGATTTCGATCGTTCATCCTTAAACCAACAGTACAAAGACTCTTCTAGATCAGGCAGTGCGGGTCTTCTCCCAGATTCCGTTTTCCATCCATATTCAACAATTCATTCTTACATTTTAGCTATCGTCTGAGATTTTTTATGATCAATGTTCAGTTGACATGATGCAAGACTAAGATTACTTCCAAATTCAGTCTTAACTTGTTTTACAATGTCAAGTTTTCTGTTTCCTGTCAAAATGTTCTGTAAACGTGATAACCTCGCATGAACTCTCTATCAGTGTTACTTACTTTGAGAGACTCTCTATCAGTGTTACTTACTTCAAGTGCAGGGCCTGAGGTCTGAGGACATAGGGAAAGAGACTCTCTATCAGTGTTACTTACTTCAAGTGCAGGGCCTGAGGTCTGAGGATGTAGGGAAAGAGACTCTCTATCAGTGTTACTTACTTTGAGTGCAGGGCCTGAGGTCTGAGGATGTAGGGAAAGAGACTCTCTATCAGTGTTACTTACTTCAAGTGCAGGGCCTGAGGTCTGAGGATGTAGGGAAAGAGACTCTCTATCAGTGTTACTTACTTTGAGTGCAGGGCCTGAGGTCTGAGGATGTAGGGAAAAGAGACTCTCTATCAGTGTTACTTACTTCAAGTGCAGGGCCTGAGGTCTGAGGTTGTAGGAAAAGAGACTCTCTATCAGTGTTACTTACTTTGAGTGCAGGGCCTGAGGTCTGAGGATGTAGGAAAAGACTCTCTATCAGTGTTACTTACTTTGAGTGCAGGGCCTGAGGTCTGAGGATGTAGGGAAAGAGACTCTCTATCAGTGTTACTTACTTCAAGTGCAGGGCCACGATATTGAGGTCTGAGGATGTAGGCAAAGAGACTCTCTATCAGTGTTACTTACTTTGAGTGCAGGGCCTGAGGTCTGAGGACATAGGGAAAGAGACTCTCTATCAGTGTTACTTACTTCAAGTGCAGGGCCTGAGGTCTGAGGATGTGGGCAAAGAGACTCTCTATCAGTGTTACTTACTTTGGAGTGCAGGGCCTGAGGTCTGAGGATGTAGGGAAAGAGACTCTCTGCCATTCTCCTGAGATACTCCAGTTCTGCTTTTCGACTCCACATGGCTACATGAGCGTCTTGCCGAGGAGGTCAATGACACACTGCTGGAAGTCAGTGGCACCTTCAGCTGACACAGGAGAATGCTGTGAAGTTCCAGTGCTGTCATACTGAACAGTATCCATCATGAGAGCTGCAACCTGTAGATGAAACAGGAAATGTTGTGCAACTTCCAGTGCTGTCATACTGAACAGTATCCATCATGAGAGCTGCAACCTGTAGATGAAACAGGAAATGTTGTGCAACTTCCAGTGCTGTCATACTGAACAGTATCCATCATGAGAGCTGCAACCTGTAGATGAAACAGGAAATGTTGTGCAACTTCCAGTGCTGTCATACTGAACAGTATCCATCATGAGAGCTGCAACCTGTAGATGAAACAGGAAATGTTGTGCAACTTCCAGTGCTGTCATACTGAACAGTATCCATCATGAGAGCTGCAACCTGTAGATGAAACAGGAAATGTTGTGCAACTTCCAGTGCTGTCATACTGAACAGTATCCATCATGAGAGCTGCAACCTGTAGATATCTCAAATGATTCAACCCCATGACAAAACACAGGTTAACTTAAAGGTGGGGGTCAACATTACTTTTCAAGTTTTCCACATTTATATAGTAATATACATATACAGGTGTGTGTGTTAGTTATGAGTAACCTTAGGATGTATACAGCAGGTAACTCACCATCTATCTTGGGCTGTATACAGCAGGTAACTCACCATCTATCTTGGCCTGTATACAGCAGGTAACTCACCATGTATCTTGGCCTGTACACAACAGGTAACAGGTAACTCAACATGTATCTTAAGCTGTACACAACAGGTAACTCACCATGTATCTTGGCCTGTATACAGCAGGTAACTCACCATGTGTCTTGGCCTGTACACAACAGGTAACTCAACATGTATCTTGGCCTGTATACAGCAGATAACTCAACATGTATCTTGGCCTGTATAGAGCAGGTAACTCACCATGTATCTTGGCCTGTACACAACAGGTAACTCACCATGTATCTTGGCCTTTATACAGCAGGTAACTCACCATGTGTCTTTGCCTGTACACAACAGGTAACTCACCATCTATCTTGGCCTTTATACAGCAGGTAACTCACCATGTATCTTGGCCTGAACACAACAGGTAACTCACCATGTATCTTGGCCTGTAAACAACGGGTAACTCACCATGTATCTTGGCCTGTATACAACAGGTACTCACCATGTTTTCTTGGCCTGTACACAACAGGTAACTCACCATGTATCTTGGCCTTTATACAGCAGGTAACTCACCATGTATCTTGGCCTGTATAGAGCAGGTAACTCACCATGTATCTTGGCCTGTACACAACAGGTAACTCACCATGTATCTTAGCCAGAATACAGCAGGTAACTCACCATGTATCTTGGCCTGTATAGAGCAGGTAACTCACCATGTATCTTGGCCTGTACACAACAGGTAACTCACCATGTATCTTAGCCTGAATACAGCAGGTAACTCACCATGTATCTTGGCCTGTACACAACAGGTAACTCACCATGTATCTTGGCCTGTATGCAGCAGGTAACTCACCATGTATCTTCGCTGTACACAACAGGTAACTCACCATTTGTCTTGGCCTGTATACAGCAGGTAACTCACCATGTATCTTAGCCTGAATACAGCAGGTAACTCACCATCTATCTTGGCCTGTAAACAACAGGTAACTCACCATGTATCTTGGCCTTTATACAGCAGGTAACTCACCATGTATCTTGGCCTGTACACAACAGGTAGCAGGTAACTCACCATGTATCTTGGCCTGTATACAGCAGGTAACTCAACATGTATCTTGGCCTGTATACAACAGGTAACTCACCATCTATCTTGGCCTTTATACAGCAGGTAACTCACCATGTATCTTGGCCTGTACACAACAGGTAACTCACCATGTATCTTGGCCTGTAAACAACAGGTAACTCGCCATGTATCTTGGCCTTTATACAGCAGGTAACTCACCATGTATCTTGGTCTGTACACAACAGGTAACTCACCATGTATCTTGGCCTGTATACAGCAAGTAACTCACCATGTATCTTGGCCTGTATAGAGCAGATAACTCACCATGTACTTTAGCCTGTACACAACAGGTAACTCACCATGTGTCTTGGCCTATATGCAGCAGGTAACTCACCATGTGTCTTGGGGTGCATACAACAGTTAACTCACCATGTATCTTGGCTTGTATACAGCAGTCTAGGTGTTCTATGGCTGCCTTCACCAGTTTACGGATTACCAGTTTCGGTATGTCAAGCTGAAAGTATATCAAGGGACAAGGTACAGATGTCTTCATAAGCTAAATTAGTAAAATCTAAATATTTTTTATATTTGTATACTTATCCTGCACTACTTACTTCCTGCACTTATTGCTTGCGACTCAAAATGTGGTTGTGCCAGACGATTGATGTTGAAAAGCGTAGACTGCGATCACTTCCTGGTCTTGGGTAAACATCCGTCTGCGCATGCATCACCGGAACGTGACGTCAGCCACCTCTGATTATTGCCGTAAATCCCACAGATGAATACGAAGAGGGGAGGTAGCTGAAAGCGCAGGGTGGGCCCTTATCATAAGTAGTGCAGGATAAGTATACAAATATAAAATATATTTAGCTTTTACTAAATTTTTAACTAATCCTGCACTACTTACTTCCTGCACATTTATCGGACAGGCAGGATGGAGGGCGTGTCATCTGCGGGGATCGCCTCGCAAGGTAAACAAAGACAGCTCGGTCAAAGTCATCAAGTGCGCTGCGGTGGTGGTAACAACCGGCGTGGCACCTAAAGCGGACAGCGAGTGACGATCAGGCAGTGGTAGTATGAATATATAAGACACGTAGTCTTAAATGGTCTATACCACACGATTTTTAAAGCGTTATAAGCTTTAGGGAAATGCAGTAAAAAGCTGTGACTGGAGTTAACCCAAGTGTTACTGCTTAACTGACAGACCCAGTTGTTCCAGAACAACTCTCTTCCCACAAGGCATCGGCGTGCTTCATGGGAACAAAAAGCATGGTGGAAGATATCTTCGGTGCACCTGGAAGAATAGTCAACAAACAGTGACTATCTCTCAGTGGTAATTTGCATATAAGACAGGCAGGCTTAAATGGAAAGACCACGCGATTTTTAAAGCAAGATTAGCTTTAGGGAAATGCAGTAAAAAGTATTGACTTGAGTTTTTCCAAGTGTTACTCCTTAACTGACATATCCAGTTGTTTCCCTCGGAACAACTCTTTTCCAACACGGCGTCATCATGCTTCGAGGGAAGAAATATCATAAAGGAAGGCACCTTTGTGGAATCTGGAAGAATGGTCGGCAGAGAGGGATTATATCTCAGTGGCAATTCGCATATAAGCCATGTACGCTTAAATGGAAAGGGGACGCAGCTACGTTCATATCCTCTCTTGTTGATGTGAGACTTGTCACCACGTCTCCTGCCACGCACCGGCGCCTGATTCCAAGCCCACCTAACAGTGTGGCGTCGAGGCTATAGTAGGTACTGGATTCATGTAATGAGGGATGTTTGACTTGCTGGAAGGCTGTCAACGCTATCTCCCTGTGAGTAAAGTCACACACTGTTCGATAGACGTCCTTGAACTCGTTATTAAAGATGGCATTCGAGGACTTGGATTGGTGAAATAGATTCCTCGGAAGCTTAGAATCCTAACCGGAAAATCCTTGACCTCAAATAACACCTGCGTTGGCGAGAACTGCCTGTAAGTGTTCGCCAAGGACAGTGAGGACCATCCACTACCAAGCCATCATGCATATAGAAGAGAGGTGACGATCCTGTACGGACTGTCAGGTCTTGAGAGACAATGTTAATAACCGAAGCTTAGTTGAGATAGGAAGGAGCATCCGTGTGGATTCCAAATCAAGGGCCGTCATTCCTTGAGTATCGTGCCTTGTAAGAAGAAACACTGTCACTCGCTTAATTTCCTCATCCACCTGGGCTGCCCTATTGATGAATTCAAGACAAGGGAGTGCGTAAACGCCACGCCCGGTATAGGTACCATATTAGTTGAAGTCTTCGAGGGCAAGATGTGTCCGTCTGCCGACGTAGAGGTCAGTGGAGACAGTGGCGCAACCAACAGCTGCCAAACTCTTGAAGATGTGGAGGCGCTGACGCAGTATGTTACTTCATATAGATGCTCAATCTGGTATAGGCCCTGGAATGAGGGAGTGAGTGAGTATGATTTTATAGGCGCTAGATCCAGTAGAGCCGCCGTACAGGCGCTGGATCTGGTAGAATGCTGTATCTGGTAGAAAGAACAGAACAGGCATTTGAGTGAGTGAGGATGGTTTGATAGGCGCCGTACAGGTGCTGGATCTGGTAGAAAAACTGGACAGATGCTGGAGTGAGTGAGTGAGTATGGAGTTGTAGGCGCCATACAAGCACTGGATCTGGTAGAAACGCCGGACAGGCGTTGGAGTGAGTGAGAATGGTTTTATAGGCGCCGTACAGGCGCTGGATCTGGTAGACATGCCGGACAGATGCTGGAGTGAGTGAGTGAGTATGGTGTCATAGGTGCCTTACAAGTGCTGAATCTGGTAGAAACGCCGGAGGCATTGGAGTGAGTGAGGATGGTTTTATAGGCCGCATTGCGCGCTGGATCTGGTAGATACGCCGGACAGACGCTGGAGTGAGTGAGTGAGTATGGTGTCATAGGTGCCATACAAGCACTGGATCTGGTAGATACGCCGGACAGACGCTGGAGTGAGTGAGTGAGTATGGTGTCATAGGTGCCTTACAAGTGCTGAATCTGGTAGAAACTCCGGACAGGCGTTGGAGTGAGTGAGGATGTTTTTTATAGGCGCCGTACAGGCGCTGAATCTGGTAGAAACGCCTGACAGGCACTGGAGGGGGTATGGTTTATAGGCGTCATACAAGCGCTGGATCTGGTAGAAACGCCATACAGGTGCTGGAGGGAGTAAGTATGGGTTTACAAGCTCAGTACAGCCGCTGGATCAGGTAGATGCATCATACATTCCCTGTAGACAGAAACGACGCTGGAACAGGTTGGTGTTGCGACGGAGGCGCTAACACCGACTGCAGAATGCCGAGGTCGTAGTCGATGTGGTAGAAGCGCTGTATAGGCGCTGTTGTACCAGACTGCCCTGCTAACTAGGTCAAGTCAAATGGGAGTCGAAACATCCAGTGACTGCTGGTCGCGCGGCGCATGCATCTGAGGCATCAGGAGTAAGATGTCTGCCAAGGACATGCTGGAAACAGCAACCTGGAGAAAGGAGACGGAGCGCCAGACGCCCTAGAGCTAGAGGACATCAGTGTTGTGGCAAGTATCTGGATGCTTGTCACAGGCGACGTCGGTGTTGGACCTGGCGCTTCAAAAGTAGGTGTTATATTAATTAAGTAAGTGCAACTGGCACATTACTTGTGTGAAAAAAAAGGGAAAAACACGAAAAGTGCAATTCACACAGTGTGAATGAGGGCACTTATGAGATACCCTGCCTTACAAACTATACAGCGTGTGCCGTATAGAAACTGCAACATAGCAGAAAACCCCAGCAAACACACGGTCAAAAAACATTATAGTAACGGGGTAGAACAGCATAAATGAGAACAACGTCTCACAAAATACTGACATAAACTGGAGACCGGAATTAAGGCTTATTAATAATATACGATGATAGTATAACATATAACCATGAGCCAAGAACAAGCCACTATGAATTCATCGAAGCCACAGGTTGTGAATGGCGAAGTGACCGATAATAGTGATGAAACTACCGTGTTTATCACAAACACCATCACTACAACAGTACTACGAAAAACGAAACAGAAAGGTAATACCTACACTCTCTGAAGAACAAAGGAAAATACCCAAAAGAAAGTTTATTATCAATAAACACAAATTCATAGGATACAAAACAGTCGAGCTGGCAAACCACACGTCTTGCGAGGCATGCGAAAAGCAATAATCCGAGGTGGCTGACGTCACGCTTCCGGTGATGCGTGCGCAGACGGATGTTTACCCGAGACCAGGAAGTGATCGCAGTCTACGCTTTTCAACATCAATCGTCTGGCACAGCCACGTTTCGAGTCGTAAACAATAAGTGCAGGAAGTAAGTAGTGCAGGATTAGTTAAATATTCATGATATATATATAGGAAAAGTATTACGAAGTGAAATGGAGAGTACCTTCTTAGCTCTACGTAGAAACACAGCTGCAATGAATCGGATGTTGCTCCTCAGTTCATCTGCAAACTCCTCATCTGTGCTGAGGTCCCTGCAACCATCAACCCCAGACATGATTCATGTGCAGTCTTGTATGTAAACGGACAAGAAATAAACAAGTATAAAGCATGGCTATCTTTGACAGACCCGGTCAAGAAATACACAAGGAATCCTTGATAACAGTTTTACCAGAGGAAAGATGGTAATGCCAAAATATATCTATGTAGAAATGTACAGATTCCCCCAAGTTATGATAGTTGTGTGACTGATTCCAGTATTGAATACATTGTTAGATAAAGAAACTACACAGTCGTATTGTATTGTCATTTATTGTACTACATGCTAACAGGTGAAATATAGCAACTTACTTATACCATGTGTAGACAAACTCCTTGAAAATAATACTGAAAAACTGAAAGTCAAAGAAACAAAAGTATTAGAACAAACAGGACATACAGAGCTTATCACCTTCCTTCTCATCCAAAACCTGTTCCCATATTGAACCTTCTTCTCATCAAATACAGTGTCCGAATACACTCTGAACCACATGAGAAATCCTCATGCAAACACTACCAAATACTCCTTTAATGAATGGTAATTCAAGTTAGTTTTTGGTATGCAAGACGACTATAAGAAAACTTAAAACATCTGTCAGTGTTGCATTTTGAATCTTGGACAAACAGTTGGTCACTAGCACTGCTTGTATATGGAAGCTGTGCAGTCAACACTTGATCTACTAGCTGAATTTACATTCTGGTTATTTAGAAGAAGGAAAACAGTGTACCTGTCAAAGACAATAATGCTAAGTCAATGACTATCCTGAGGAAGTGATAATCAACAAATTCAATCTACAGTGTCAGTGCTTTGAATAGAAGAAAGTCATCCCTCCCAATACACCTCCCTCCCCATGGACCATCTCCCCATACACCTCCCTCCCATGTACCATCTCACCATACACCTCCCTCCCCATGTACCATCTTCCAATACACCTCCCTCCCCATGTACCATCTCCCCATACACCTCCCTCCCATGAACCATCTCACCATACACCTCCCTCCCCCATGTACCATCTCCCCATACACCTCCCTCCCATGTACCATCTCACCATACACCTCCCTCCCCATGTACCATTTCCCCATACACCTCCCTCCCATGTACCATCTCACCATACACCTCCCTCCCCATGTACCATCTCTCACCATACTCCTCCCTCCCATGTACCATCTCCCCATACACCTCCCTCCCATGTACCATCTCACCATACACCTCCCTCCCCCCATGTACCATCTTCCAATACACCTCCCTCCCCATGTACCATCTCCCCATACACCTCCCTCCCATGTACCATCTCCCCATACACCTCCCTCCCATGTACCATCTCCCCATACACCTCCCTCCCATGTACCATCTCCCCATACACCTCCTCCCATGTACCATCTCACCATACACCTCCCTCCCCATGTACCATCTCACCATACACTTCCCTCCCATGTACCATCTCCCCATACACCTCCCTCCCATGTACCATCTCACCATACACCTCCCTCCCCATGTACCATCTTCCAATACACCTCCTTCCCCATGTACCATTTCCCCATACACCTCCCTCCCATGTACCATCTCACCATACACCTCCCTCCCATGTACCATCTCACCATACACCTCCCTCCCATGTACCATCTCCCCATACACCTCCCTCCCATGTACCATCTCACCATACACCTCCTCCCATGTACCATCTCACCATACACCTCCCTCCCATGTACCATCTCACCATACACCTCCCTCCCCCTATGTACCATCTCCCCATACACCCTCCCTCCCATGTACCATCTCACCATACACCTCCCTCCCATGTACCATCTCACCATACACCTCCCTCCCATGTACCATCTCCCCATACACCTCCCTCCCATGTACCATCTCCCCATACACCTCCCTCCCATGTACCATCTCCCCATACACCTCCCTCCCATGTACCATCTCACCATACACCTCCCTCCCCATGTACCATCTCCCCATACACCTCCCTCCCCATGTACCATCTCACCATACACCTCCCTCCCCATACACTTCATTCATCATGTACCACCTTTTAAACTTTATAAACTTCCTTTCCATATACTCCATCCAGTATACCTCAGTGTTGACTCTATCTAATATAATCAGTCCCATATACTATGTCCCAGCTACCTCTCTACCCACATACAATCTCCCCATATACTGTCCTAATACTCCAATATACAGATTGGGAATATCATACTTTAAATACATTCCATAAAAACATCACTGGAACATAACAAAGACAGCTGTAGCTAGCTCATAATTGCAAGTGTTGATTCAGTTTACAAACCCTGCTTACCTCATCTAAGGACTGATCCACTTTCTGCCGTATCTCAAGGTTGGTCCATGGTTGAAAGGCGAGAATATTCAACTCAGGTCTGCAGATCAAGTAGCAACATGTTATGATACTCAGAAACAGTTGTCTCCCCTTACTTGCAAGCCACCCCACACTCTCTGATGTGTGTGGCTGTGTAGCTCAGCAAATTAAACTTCAATCACAAAAGCACTGACATTTTGTTGGCTGGTTTATTTGCAAATCATGCTACAGTTAATGTAAACATGATAGTTGACTTGCCTATAACTTCCAGTTTGATTGTGACGAGGCTTGGAGTGTACATTTACTGAAACCTCTCAGTGTTATTATCCCATGTAGAACATGCTTACTCTACACCATCTCTTCACATCAGATGCAGTACATCTCTTAGTAAGAAGAATGGTGCCATAATAACTTGACTACTGTAATGGTATTCTTGGAATACTCCACTGGTGATTGTTCTCAGTGAGGGTCAGACATAAGATCCTGAACCTCCTTGACTGATATGAAAGGGTCAACCTATCAGGTGTGGTGAGAAAACAGCTACCATCCAGATGCCTCAGATCATATGTCATACCAGAAACATCCCTGACTGATATGAAAGGGTCAACCAATCAGGTGTGGTAAGAAAACAGCTACCATCCAGATGCCTCAGATCATATGTCATCATACCAGAAACATCCCTGACTGATATGAAAGGGTCAACCAATCAGGTGTGGTGAGAAAACAGCTACCATCCAGATGCCTCAGATCATATGTCATCATACTAGAAACATCCCTGACTGATATGAAAGGGTCAACCTATCAGGTGTGGTGAGAAATCAGCTACCATCCAGATGCCTCAGATCATATGTCATCATACTAGAAACATGACTGAAAATATTTGGCTACAAGTGTTTTTTTCTTTCATGGTGCCGATCTGGACATATAAGCTATCCAGTGTCACTTCTAAGAATTTTTATGCAAAGATGGAAGAAACTTTACCTTAAACTGTATTCAGATCAGAATGATATAGCTGAATATCATGTTATTTCAGGTGTTGCTTTTACTTTATATATCTAAAATAAAAACTGATCATAAGTGTAGCCATTAGTTCTAGAATCGATAAATTTTACATACTGGATTGTTTTGGTTGATCACTGTTGCAGATCAACTAATCAGCAATCACAACATTTAACATTTATTGTGGAAAAAATGGCCATGAATTTTTTATTTACTTAGGACAGGCATTGAGGTAACTTACCCCTTACTACATCTAAGTGTTATGTTAGCTTTAAGATGATCTTGGGGCTTAGATTGTTTAAAAATTCAAGGCACTGTTATGCAACATGTTAAATGCAATAAACAAGAATAACATCAGATTATGTAAATTATCACTACATGAAAACACAAACAAATGAACAACACAAAATTTAAGCATTCTTTTTCAGTTATGAGGCATAACTAGAGCATTACCTGTGTCTGGGGCACTTTCTCTGACCACACACAGTGCACACTGTCTTCATGAGTGTCAGCTCGTCATACTGGGAGGACGACTGTGAATATGACTTCATGTGATCACTAGACGGAGCATGTTTATATGTTTCAAATCAAGATAGTTTTACACCATTCCAAATTCAACTGACAATTCAGCTTTCACAGAGAGAGGGTGTGTGTGCATGTGCAAGAGTGTGTGCTGGCGTGTGAGTGTGCATGTGCAAGAGTGTGTGCTGGTGTGTGAGTGTGCATGTGCAAGAGTGTGTGCTGGCGTGTGAGTGTGCATGTGCAAGAGTGTGTGCTGGCGTGTGAGTGTGTGCAAGTGCTGGCAAGAGAGTGTGTGCTGGCGCATGTGCAAGAGTGTGCATGTGCAAGAGTGTGTGCTGGCGTGTGAGTGTGCATGTGCAAGAGTGTGTGCTGGCGTGTGAGTGTGCATGTGCAAGAGTGTGTGCTGGCGTGTGAGTGTGCATGTGCAAGAGTGTGTGCTGGCGTGTGAGTGTGCATGTGCAAGAGTGTGTGCTGGCATGTGAGTGTGCATGTGCAAGAGTGTGTGCTGGCGTGTGAGTGTGTGCATGTGCATGTGCAAGAGTGTGTGCTGGCGTGTGAGTGTGCATGCAAGAGTGTGTGCTGGCGTGTGAGTGTGCATGTGCAAGAGTGTGCTGGCGTGTGAGTGTGCATGTGCAGGTGTGTGCTGGTGTGTGAGCATGTGCAAGAGTGTGTGCTGGCGTGTGAGTGTGCATGTGCAAGAGTGTGTGCTGGCGTGTGAGTGTGCATGTGCAAGAGTGTGTGCTGGCATGTGAGTGTGCATGTGCAAGAGTGTGTGCTGGCGTGTGAGTGTGCATGTGTTTGTGTACCTTATAACAAATGAAATATGTATATACAATCTTGAACATGTGTATGCTCATACAAATACAGTCATGATTTCATCTTTATGACAATCCTCGATCAAAGCATTTATATGAATAACATGAAAGACCTTACCTTTTTCTTCCTGCTGTACATAGGCAACAGGTTGGGCAGCAGTGTGTTGGGACTGACACACACGTAGGTCACTGCCATGCCGACCACAAACGACCATACCGCCAGAAACCATTTCAGATAGCTGCAATGATAAAGCAAACAAAGGTGAAATCTAAGTTCAACTCATGTTTAAATTAAATAATATCACCTCACTAAGAATCTTTCGGCAAAGGGATATCTTCTGTAATGACAAACAAAAAGGTACATTAATGACACCAATATTCTTTGGAGATAGCTAAGTAAGACTGTCGTGTCTTATCTTATTTATCAATTTCTTGGTTTCATCTAAGTCTCAATGTCTTGTCAAATGACCTACCAAACCAAATACATCTTGAAAATTTTAACTATAGTCCGTTTGGCTCAAAAACGGACCGATGAATTGCAATCTAACTCGAAAACTACTAAACATATTATACTCAATGAAACGCTGATCATAATCAAAACATCAGACCAACTCTGTGATTTATTTGCAGAATTTATCTTCTAAAAATAGAAAAGTTGTTTAACAAACTATCATTAAAATTTTGACACAGTTCACTATTTGTTACGAAGGAGGAGTGCAAAGAAAGGGACAGCCAGGTGTGCAGGAGGATGGAGATGGCACAGCACAGGTTAAAGAATCAATAACTTTGTCAGCACTTGCTTCTCAAACACCTGGCTGTCCCTTTCTCTGCACTCCTCCCTCGTAACACATAGTGATCTGTGTCAAAATTTTAATGATAGTTTGTTAAACAACTTTTTTATTTGTATGACATAAATTCTGCAAATAAATCACAGAGTTGGTCTGATGTTTTGATCAGTGTTTCATCGAGTATCATATGTTTAGTAGTTTTCCAGTTAGGTTGCAATTAATCGGTCCGCTTCTGAGCCAAACGGACTATACAAATTGTATATTTATAATACTTATCATATCTCACGGTATGCACTTCTCTTCCTTACTTCGACCATGGCATGGAAACATGCTGCAGGCAAAGTTGAACAAATCTTCTGACCTCTGTTCCAACCGATCGCTCCACACCGTTCCCATTCTTGGGCATGTTAATGATCCCTGTATAGCATGCTAAACGCTCAGGACGGTCACATGACCTCCCACTGCTGTCAATCTCGTAATCTGTGAAGTGGGGAAGGTTGGGTGGGAATCCATCGCGTGAGATAGGAGAAGTATTATAAATATACAATTTATTGTTAAAATTTCCAATTGTTTAAACTTATCCTATCTCACGGTATGCATTTATCCCACGTTGGACGGTGGGTCACAGATTACCCTGTGTCGAACATATAACAACCGTGAAGCCAAATAACACAAGGAGGCCTGGAGAAAGCACCAACTCCCGATATGCTATACTCCATTACTTTTGATGGGTTGCTTCTCTTGGCTTACACAGCACAAAGACTATAGGGTCCCAAATCAATGTGGTTTTTAGCCGCAACTTTTCTTCAAGACAAAAGGACGCAGTTTGGCAAGTAAACCCCACTTCCCCGTGATTTCTCAGAAGACCCCAGTGAATTCATGTCTAAGACCTTAATCTGGACAGTCCTTGCTTCGAAACCATCTCCTGCAGTCACACGCTGGAAGGTGGTGAAAGGAAGACAGCCCGGTGCTCAATTCGTTTAGCCTACCAATCAATCATTCCAAGATGAGAAAGGAACTTTGGAGTGGAACACTTTGAAAACCCCGTAGGTATTTGGAAAATCAACATTTTACTGACGTAATTGCTCAGTAGTAGAGGTCAGTAAGTGGAATGTCGCCCCCCTCTGGATGAAGTACAAGACTGGCCTCACAGTCTATAGAGACATGAGTATGACTAAAGTAGAACAAGAAGAAAAGATGACATCAATATCTTCTCTTGAAATACAAGGTAGCAAGACCATCGCAAGAAAGGTTGCCCCTTCATCTGCGTTCATGGGCCAACGAAAGATCAGATCAGTGACGGATAAATCTTGTAGATAGTGTGAGGCAAAGACCGTTCCTGACCTCCAGAAACAACCCTCCACAGTTGCTGTGTAGTGCCATCGTTGAAGCCAAAGCTCGTGTTTTGTGAGAGTTCGCAGGTCATCGTAGGCATAGGCTCTTAGGATGGTTGAACGCATCCAAAGCACAAGTGTTGTACGCGAGACTTCTGCTGATGAAGCTGGAGACAATGGGTTGAAAAGTCTCTTGTGTAACCTACGTCGGCCTTGAGATGCAGCAAGGTACACTCATAATGCCCTAACCAGACAGAGTGAGAGATCCTCTGTGTTGTTGGGCCCCAGTATCCTGGACAGTGGTGGAATGACGAAAAGTCTCTCGGGTTGTCCAGGTAACTGATTCTTGGCAATTAAGTCCCATCTTAGGTCAAGAAAGACTGTGCCATGCCCCTTCCGTTCAAAGTGCACTCTGTTGACATCAAAGACAAGAAGTTCTGAGATGCGTGCAGCGGTCGCAAGGGCCAATAGGAAGAAGGTCTTGAAAGTAATACACTCGAAATCTTTCTTCCCTAGAGGCTCGGACTCATCTGAGGCGAATGTCTGAGGACAACCGAGACGTCCCAAGCCAATGGCTGGAATTTCTTAGACTGGTGTAAACAAGTGTAATAAAGACTGGAGTTCAGAGACAGTAGAGGCTTTAGTACCCGAGGCTGTGGCTATTACTGTATTGATGGCTGCCAGATACGTAGCCAACGTGGAGTCGGAGTTTGAGTACAACTCATGGAAGTAATGCCGGTGGTGGGAACACATACGTGTTGAGGCCCCCCGAGGGTATTGCTAATGCATGGCGTTCCTATGCTAACGGATCCAGGAACCGGGAACATGAAGCTGGGTAGCTGAATGTTGAATCTGGATGAAACAGGTCCACTGCTGAGCTCGCAATCAGGAAGCACTGAGTCTTGAATATCTTAGGATGTAGCATCGACTGTCGGGGATGGCCGATGCCTGGTATGTGATCAACTCTGACTGTGATAGTCCATGAGATGGAAGAACTGCTGAACCCACTGCGGTGATCCTGTGGACACCATCTGGTTGATGTACCACACCACCATGGCATTGTCCGACTGTACGAGTGGACTGGTTGATCGTAGAAGATGAGCCCAATGGGCTATCACCAATATAACCGCCCTGAACTCTAGTTCGTTGATGTGACAGGACTGATCTGCAGGAGACCACAACCCTGCCATTTGAAGATCCTGAAGGTGAGCTCCCCACCCTTGTAGAGAAGTATCCACATAGAGGTGATGAAAGGGAGCGAACGGCCTCAAAGAGACCCCTCTGCAAATGGTTCATTCTACCAGCCACCGTCGTAGATGGGGATGGAGCATTGAATGTAGTAGGATTGGCGTGTGGGGACCTGATATAAGGTCTGAGGAACTGTTGTAATGGCCGAAGTCGCAGTTGTTTCCTGAGGGTAAGAGCCTGGACTGATGGCAGCAGACTGAGGAGCTCTTGCCACTGATGAAGAGTTCTGGGTTGAGTCAGTTCTAAGGGAACCAGTCGTTGAATCTTGACAAACAGGGCTCAGGGAGCAAAACATCGTGTCAATAAACTGGAGGCATAGAGTCGGGATCAGTTCTGACTTCTTAAAATTGATGAGCCATCTTAACTGGTGAAGTAGCTAGATGTAGAACCAAGATGGTAGATGTACCACACCACCACCGAGTACTCGAGTTGTCCGATCATATGAGAAGACCAATCGAAAGTAGGCCAAAGTATTATTGCTGGGATAACTGCCTTGTACTCCAGCTTGTTGATGTGGAGGGTCAGTACGTCACATGACCACAGTCCTGCTACTAGTAGATTGTGAAGTTGAATTTCCCCATTCTTAAAGTGATGTGTCTACGAATAGGCATTATATGTCAAGTAAACTCCCACACAGACATTCAATTCGTCGAGTCATTAACGCAGGGTGAAGAATCGATGAAGCTAGAAGGATCACTGCTTGGTGATTGGCGATCCTTAGGAATGGCCGTAAAAACCTCTGAATCTTCCATAGTCATGGTAAAACTCTGGACGGGAAAACTGGGGCTGACATTAGTAAACCCCTGCAAATCTGGCAGTTGTAACAGTAATTACTAGAGGAGGGATGCGTTGATTTGGTGAGCCACCACTGAATGTTCTGGGAAATGAATGCTGCACTAAAACGAGATCACTGTCTCACTGCCTCGCTATAACGCTGCCTGTCTCACACTTCACTGCTATTTGTTGTTTCGCAGAATGTAGTACTCCCCTGGCTTGCGCCTCACTGCTCTCTTTGGTAATTCGCAGAATGCAGTAATTCTCTGTCAATGGCATAAATCCGCTGCGCAGTCTTTGCATTCTGTCAAATATGTAGTTGAAACTTAGCACACACAAATATTTCCCATGTGATAATACAGTGAAACTGTATAGTAACCAGCATAGTCATCTATTGAGTTCCGAAGTACTACCGGTGTACCTCCAGTCAACTCCCTGTATGATGTCACCGGTGCATTGTTAGGCTGACCTCCATGATATTAGATGCAAAGACGGTACACTGAGAGCACGCATATGAAGGTGAGAACAGTTCTAATTTCATAAGTAGAGAATCTACAAGAGCTGGTGGGGAAATGTAGAAGGTATAGGAGGATGTGCTAGTAGACAGTTGGCAATGTAAGACTCAAACAGAAGTGATGTGTATCATAATGTTGGTTAAAAGCCAGTCAAAGAAATATCAACCGAGAGTATCCCCATTAATAGTGGTCTGTAGAGCTGGTGTCAGTGCTGAGGGGTACATTCGCTGAACGTATCGCTTGTCAGCGGTAATTAAAATAGGTAGTTAGTAGCCCCAGCTGAGTGTGGATACAATGAAGGGGTCTCCCCATGGAGGAAGGAGAGGGGAATCGTCAAACATTGACTAGTGAGATTGGTGAACTCGGCAGTAGGACTTGACAATACTGATATGGAAACGCGCCTAGTTGCTGTACTTATTTCAAAGCCGTTGCCAAGACTTGTAGCATCAAGTCAAAGTCCATGAGAAGGCAAAGTTGTGTATCTTGGGAATAACCTCAAGACACTGGTAGGTTCGGCTGCGGCACTCAAGAAGTAGCCTGTGACGAATAAGAGGAAATGAATCGGATCGCCAAAGCAGAC